TTCGGCACATCTTCATAAATCCATTGTTACCATAATGGACGGCAAGCTTCAAGTATTTGATCTCTTTGTGATGCTCCACTTGAACTTGCACATCGCAACCTAACCCCACAAAGAACTCTCACGAAGACCATGGGTTAGTACACAAAGCGAAATTGACAATGCTTACCATACCATGGGATCACTTGATCCCTCTCGGTACATCTTTTGCGCTTTGTGAGTTGATCAACTTGATTCATTCTTGACTTAATCTTGATCAACCTTGAATCTTTCCAATTCTCTTCATTTGGATGATGTCTTGAAGGTAGACATGAATGATCACACAATATTCTTCTTCAAGACATGCTTGCAATAAGCTCAACACTCACATGACCAATCTTTGGATAATTCCTTGAATAGCACCTTGGTCGACGCAAACTCTCCTTGAAACCAACGCATGTACTCCAAGAAAAGCCTATGGACAAAACCTTCAAATATAACTCAAGGTAACCATTAGTCCATAGAGATTGTCATCAATTACCAAAACCAAACATGGGGGCACCGCATGTTCTTTCACCCTCCTCTTCTCCCACTAAGGCCCATTAGGCCCAATATACTCCCTGGGGGTTCCGATAACCCCCCGGTACTCTGGTAAATGTTTGAAACCTCCCGAAACCTTTCCGGTATCCGAACATAGTCATCCAATATATCGATCTTTACGTCTCGACCATTTCGAGACTCCTCGTCATGTCCATGATCATATCCAGGACTCCGAACTACCTTTGGTACATCAAAACACAAAAACTCATAATACCGATCGTCACAGAACTTTAAGCGTGCGGACCCTATAGTTTCGAGAACTATGTAGACATGACCGAGACACGTCTCTGGTCAATAACCAATAGCGGAACCTGGATGCTCATATTGGTTCCTACATATTCTACAAAGATCTTTATCGGTCAAACCGCATAACAACATATGTTGTTCCCTTTGTCATCGACATGTTACTTGCCCGAGATTCGATCGTCGGTATCTCAATACCTAGTTCAATCTCGTTACCGGCAAGTCTCTTTACTCGTTCCGTAATGCAACATCCCGCAACTAACTCATTAGCCACATTGCTTGCAAGGCTTATAGTGATATGCATTACCGAGAGGGCCCAGAGGTACCTCTCCGACAATCGGAGTGACAAATCCTATTCTTGATCTATGCCAACTCCACGAACACCATCGGAGACACTTGTAGAGCACCTTTATAATCACCCAGTTATGTTGTGACGTTTGGTAGCACACAAAGTGTTCCTCCGGTATTCGGGAGTTGCATAATTACATAGTCATAGGAACATGTATAAGTCATGAAGAAAGCAATAGCAATAAACTTAAACGATCAAGTGCTAAGCTAACGAAATGGGTCAAGTCAATCACATCATTCTCCTAATGATGTGATCCCGTTGATCAAATAACAACTCATGTCTATGGCTAGGAAACTTAACCATCTTTGATCAATGAGCTAGTCAAGTAGAGGCATACTAGTGACACTATGTTTGTCTATGTATTCGCACATGTATTATGTTTCTGGTTAATACAATTTTAGCATGAATAATAAACATTTATCATGAAATAAGGAAATAAATAATAACTTTATTATTGCCTCTAGGGCATATTTCCTTCAAACTATGCTTGTAGTTTGTTGATCATGTGATGAACTATGTAGTATGTGATGATGTTTGTGCAATTTCTCCTGCGAAAGTGTTTTTTCAAATTATGCAGGTTTAGATATGGGTTCTATTCGGCCGCGCTAGTTTTTGACACGCAAACGCGTTTTGCGGGTCAAATTTTTGCGGGGTCTGCTAGAGTTGCTCTAAGTATAGAAAAAAACATCAGAAATCCTGGGCGGGCCATGGCCTGGTTTGGCCCCAAGCAAGCTCTGCCCTTGAGGGTGTGTTTGGCAGGGTGCATGAGGGCAAAAGTTTTCAATCTAACCCACTTTCGCTTGTTTGATAGCGTGCATGGGCCTACCTATACCTGGCCATGGGCCGGGCTGGGCTTGGGCCGGGCCTAAAAAGCCCATGGCGGAAAAATGAGGCCCGGGCCCTCCCAGGCCCTTGGGCCTACTTTTCAAGCCCAAGCCCGGCCCATCTGGTAAAAGGCCCTAAAAAGCCCTTAGGGCTTAGGGCTGTGGGCCGAACCTCTTCCTTAAAATGCCAATATGCCAAGCCCAAGCCCGTCCAGGTCCTGCTGGTGGACTCAAATCTCAGGCCCAAGCCCGGCCCACGGGCAAGCCCATCGAGCCTAGGCCCTGGATTTTAGGGTCGGGCCTGGGTGGGTCGACAGGGTCGGGCCGGAGATGGCCAGGACTAGGCTCACCTGAGCTATGCCCATCTGATGCATAAAAGGGTCCTCACCATGCCCAGGGTGCATGGAGGCAGTCATGCTGGCCCTGACCCTCGTCCCGACCCACCAGACCACGTCCAGATATGTTTAAATTTTTTAAAAATGTTCATAATTTCGAAATTTGTTTAAATTTTCAAAAAAGTTCAGAATTTCAAAATTTGTTTAAATTTTCAAAAAAAATCAGAATTTTAGAATTTGTTTAAATTTTTGAAAAAGTTTAGAATTTCAAAATTGTTTAACTTTTCAAAAAAATCCAGAATTTCAAATTTTGTTTAAATTTTCAAAAAATGTTTAGAATTTCAAAAAAAATAAAAAAATGTTCAGAGTTTTAAAAAATTTTAAATTTTCAAAAAAATGTTTAGAATTTCAAATTTTTTAAAAAAATTTATAAAATATTCAAATTTTCAATTTTTGATCAAATTTTCAAAAAATCAAGAATTTCAAATATATTCAAAATCTTTAAAAAAAATGTTCAGAATTTCAAATTTTTAAAAGAATGTTCAGCATGTATATGCAGGCTGCCAAACAGACTCTCAGCTCAGCATGTTTCGACGCATAGATCACTGGCAAATAAGGGCAACTGCATGGACTCAGCATGTCTACATTCAACATGGATGAGAGAAGAACAACTAGGCTAGGTCCATACATGCTACCAAACACACCCGGAATGTTTGAGACCTTTGTATGCCAGAACTTAGCATCTCCCTGGCTTCATTTCTGTGCGTTCGGTCATCGAGTTAGTTGCTTAATAAACTTTATTTTGTTGTTTGGGTGTTTCAAAGTGCCTTTTTTATCCAAGAACCGAGCCCAGATGGTATTCCAAACCACTCTTCTTTGTCTTTCGCTTATCTAAGATACAATCTATAAAAGAAATTATCTATGATATGCATCGGTAATTGTGAGCCCATTCAGAGAGATATTTGCAAAGATCACCTCAGACCAGTTGTACACGTAGGTGCCCTGCTAGCATGGCAGAGAAGGTGAGTTTGAGTCTTCCCCGAAGAAGAATGCAGGCTGTGCTGGTGGCTGAAGCTCCATGTCCTCCCTGTTCAACATGAAAATGATGGATGGGATGTCAGGCCTGTCGTCAGGGTCTGCTTGGACACACAGCAACCCAATGTGGATACATCTTAGCACATGGATTCGGGGGTGTCCTTCAAGTGATTCATCAATCATCTGTGATATCATCCCTTTGCTCCAACAAGTCCATACCTGTTCCCATCAGTTTGTTACTACTTGAAACTTGTCGGAAAAAATTATGTTTCATCCATGATAATAAGGTTTCCAGCTTGCTGCGATATACAGATCCGCTTACATCACTTAGGAGATTCGCCGTGTCCGTCTCGCAATCATCGGAGCCGCAGTTCCTCCTCTTGGTTACAATTTCAAGCACCAAGACACCAAAGCTGAAAATATCGATCTTTGGCGACATGTTTCCATGTATTGCATACTCTAGCGCCATATACCCGTTGCAGATGATTATCAGTTAGGCATAGAAGCAAACATCTTGACATCTGCAATATACTAAAGAACTTTTGTATGAAGTTGCTTACCACGTTCCAACAACTCTAGTTGTCATGGTTTGAGTATGGCCTCCTACTTGCAGCCTAGCTAACCCGAAGTCCGCAATCTTCGGATTCATGGCATCATCAATCAGAATGTTGTTAGCTTTCAGGTCTCGGTGGATGATCCTTACGCTCGAGTCCTCGTGAAGATACATTATGCCCTTGGAAATTTCGAGAATGATGTTGTACTCTTCATCCCAGTTTAGTGTATTTCTTCGACTAGCATCTACTGTAACGTATTGTCCAAGTTTTATCAGAAGCTGCATTGACGAAAGATAACAGAGAGTATATGTTAGAGATATATTTGGGATACTTGTATTTGGTAGTCTAGGATTTGTAATCCGCCTCCTACCTTATCTCTAGGAGAGGCGTCTTGCCCTCCAAGTCTTGTACTCAATATATACTCGCCCTCGAGGCTCAATAATACATCCATCATATTCCACCAATCCTCTCTCTCCCTTCTAACAGTAGAGAGCCATTCTACATAGTAACTTTGCTAATGGAAACTTCAGTAATTCCTTACACTAATAGAATGTACTTTGCACTATCTAACTGTATATGCTATGGACCTGTAGCAACTTCCTTTCCAGAAATGCTACAGTGAGTATGAATGACTAGTAAAGAAGGTATTTCCAAACAACAATACTCACTTCATGATTCCTCTGTTCTCGGCATATTTTGGTGGACAATTTTTTATCACAACCAACGGCTAATTTTTCATGAGACCTGATTTTTTTCAAAAAGGGGGGACTCCCCGGCCTCTGCATCAGAACGATGCATACAGCCATAAAGGAACATTAAAAGAGATTTTAGTATATGGAGATGTGAGTGGAAAGGATGCAGGGAAATACCAAAAAGGAACGCAGAAGAAGATTAAAACAGTTTTCAGTACATGGAGATGTGAGTGGAGAGGACGCAAGGAAATACCAAAAAGGAAGTTGTCGAGGCTCCCGTTCCTGATTTATTCATAAACAAGTAGCATCTCCTTCTGATGGAGGCAAAACCCCAGCAACCTAACAAGGTTCTTGTGCTGGAGTTTTGCCAACACCAGCACTTCATTGCGTATCTAATCCAGTCCATGTCCAGCACCAGCACCATCTATAAGTTTCTTCACTGCTATTTCTTGTCCATCCGGGAGGTTTCCCTCAAGAAGCAGGTTCTTTTTTCAGTAGAAGAACAGAGTGCGGCAAATAGTTTTACCCTGCATTCTCCAAATCTTTTCTATTTACCTTGTATACAGTTCCGCCTCGTGGTGGTGCTCGTAGTGAGACGGCGTGGGCGGTGGCGCAACCGCGGTGGCGCATTGGGTGGTTGTTTGGATGGTTGGCTTCGGATGGGCGGTGGTGTTTGGTGAGCGGGAGAAATCCTTGCCGGTTCGTCCGGCGCCGATGCGGTGACACCGGCGGGTGCCACCATTCCTTCTTGAAGGGCGTTGGTGGTAGCCATCCCCTACTTTCCTCTGCATACCGGGGGAAACCCTAGGACTTGCCCGAGCAGCAGCGTCGTCGGCGTCGCATACCTTCTTGGAGGTGTTGCTTGGTATGCGGCACTCGGAGCCTCGAGCTATGGTAGGGTGTTTCCGGAGGGCGCGGTGGTGGCGGGCCTTCCACGCTTTGTCGAGCTGCCGTTTTTGGCATTATGTTTCTTCTTCTTCTTTGTCTTTGGGCTTGTCGTGTTTCGCCCCAGCGTCGAGTTGTGTACTATGTTGGCTGGTTGCTTTGGAATACAAAGCGGGGGGGAACTCTCTTTCGGTAAACCGCCTTCTCCAAGCTTATGCTTCTCTGAGAAGTTTTCGGTTGCCTCTTGCAGCGTCAGAGAATCATAGATAGTGCACTTCCCTCTCACCGTTTTGTTAAATGCTGTTGCACAATGCACACATGTTAGATTGGGAAGCGTTCCTACTCCTCGATGAGGAGCTGCATTTGGTTTATATTGATATGAGGCAAACAGCCATGCCTTGGCTTACAAGTTGGAGGAGACCGATCGCATGTGATCAGGACCGATCGCATGTGATCAGGTCGTTACAAGGAGATCTCCTGGATAGCTACGAGAGAGAGAGAGAGAGAGAGAGAGAGAAGATATGTTGGTTGAGATTACAAAGTAGAGATAAACATAAATTCTAACACCCTCCCTTAATCTCAACTATCCTAGGTTCAGATTCCTCTTGAATTCTTCAAATGGTTTTGCTGGCAGTGCCTTGGTAAATCCATCAGCTACTTGATCTTTGGAAGGGATGAACCTTATCTCAAGTTTCTTGTCTGCAACTCTTTCATGTACAAAGTGAAAGTCAATTTCAATATGTTTTGTTCTGGCATGAAATACATGATTTGCAGATAAGTATGTTGCACCCAAGTTGTCACACCAAAGACATGAGATACGATTTAACTTAACTCCTAGTTCCTCAAGTAGTGACTCTAACCAAATAGTTTCTGTAGTGGCATTTGCCAAGGATTTATACTCAGCCTCTGTACTTGACCTTGATACTGTTGTCTGCTTTCTTGCACACCAAGAAATGAGATTGGATCCAAAAAGACTGCAAAGCCTCCAGTTGATTTTCTGTCATCACTACAACCTGCCCAATCAGCATCAGAAAATGCACTGAAAAGTGTAGAATTAGAACGTTTGAAATTAAGGCCCAAGCTCACGGTGTGTTTTACATATCTCACAATCCTCTTGACAGCTGACCAGTGTGCAGTGGTAGGAGTATGCAAATACTGACAATTAACAGCAAATGAGATATCTGGACATGTAAGTGTCAAGTACTGTAATGCTCCAACAATGCTTCTGTACCTCATACTTTCTACCTCTTGAAGAGGCTCCCCTTCATAAGCTGAGAGTCTTTCTGAAGCTCATTGGCATATTTCTCTTGATTTAATACTATACCATCCTGAGTTTTCTTAACCTCAATACCTAGAAAGAAGTGTAGATCTCCTAGATCCTTCAAGGCAAACTCTGAGCTCAAGTCATGTAGAAGAGCATTAGTAGCATCTTGTGATGAACTTGCAACAATAATATCATCAACATAGATAAGCACAAAAATGACTACTCTTGCCTTGTTGTAAATGAACAATGATGTATTAGCCCTTGATGCAAAGAAGCCAAGACATCTTAACTGAGTGCTCAACCTAGAGTACCATGCTCTAGGTGCCTATTTTAACCCATAAAGTGACTTGTCAAGCTTGCATATATAATGTGGTGTTTTCTAACTCACATACCCAGGTGGTTGTCTCATGTAAACTTCCTCTTCCAAAACACCATGCAAAAACGCGTTCTATACATCCAGCTGACTCAAACTCCACCCCCTGGGCACATCAATAGCTAGAACAAGTCTTATTGTGGCAGCTTTCACAACAGGACTAAAGGTATCTTCACAATCTATACCATAGCGTTGTTTAAAACCCTTTGCAACCAATCATGCCTTATACCTGTCAATAGTTCCATCTGCCTTCTTTTTAACCCTGTACACCCATTTGCAATCAATAATATTTTTACCTCTCTGATCTGGCACGAGATGCTAGGTTTTATTTTTCATGAGTGCAGAGTATTCTTCATCCATGGCTTTCTTCCACCTTGGATCATCATCAAGTACCTCATTCAATGTTGTTGGTTCACCTGAGATACACAACATGCCATATGGTATAGTGCAATCAGTACGCATTTCTGGATTCTTTATACCTTTCTGTAGACGTGTCATGACTCATGTAGAAGCTGCTGGATGTACACGTTGCATAGGAGAGTCGGCTACAGAAGATCCAGTCGATCCCGCTGGCGTTGGCGCAGAAGATCCGGTGGAGTCTGGTGTGGCCCCGTATCCACCAATCATCCTGGTGTCCATAGGATCTGTAGATGCAGGGGATTCTGCCTCGCCTAGTGCATGCATGCATGGGGACAGCGACGCAGAGCACAAGGGGGATGCGGCTCCGCCTGCCGATGATGTGGAGGTGCGGGGCTGGCTGGACGAGGCGCAGGACCGCGGCGTGAAGCACAAGGAGGATGTGGCCTAGCCTGCTGGTGACGTGGAGGTGCAGGGCTGGCTGGTCGAGGGAGCGCGCCCGCGCCTGCTGAGTCTGTGATCCGAGGACGATTACGTCCCGCGATCCGGGGCCAACGGCTGCACAGGAGTTGCTGGCGGCGCCGGATCAGCTCCATTTTCAGTGTTGTTTTCGTCTTCTTGCGACACATGAAATATCCCTTCGTTTTGATCATTCTGAACATCATTTTGAGCACCGTTTTTGTTGCCAACCTGCACAGGGACAAGAGCAGAACTGGTGCTTGCAATATTATCAACATTTTGGTCAGTGCAATTGTCTCCCCCTTGCTCAAAATTCCAGAGATGTTCAGGAAGGAGAAGAATTTCTTTTCGAAGGAGGGCACCGGTGTTGGGATGTAGAGATGCAAACGGAAAGATGGACTCATCGAATACACCATCTCTGGATATATAGACTCTTCCTGTAGGGACATCCAAGCACTTGACTCCTTTATGCATGGGACTATATCCTAAGAACACGCATCTCTTTGAACGAAATGCAAGTTTTACGTGTATTGTAGGGCCGAAGGTTCGGCCAACATGCACAACCAAAAATGCGAAGTGATGTGTAATCTGGTGTTATACCAAGGAGTCGTGTGATGGGTGTTTCAAATTTGATGACCTTACTAGGAAGCAAGTTGATAAGGTATGTAGCAGTTAAGAAAGCTTCATCCCAGAACTTAAGTGGCATGGATGCATTAGCTAGTAATGCAAGCCCTATATCAACAATGTGACGGTGCTTTCTTTCAGCAGATCCGTTTTGTTGGTGAGCATGACGGCGATAAACATGATGAGAAATGCCAAGTTTTTGAAAGAATGAGTTGAGTTCCTCATACTCACCTCCCCAGTCTGTTTGTGTAGCAATAATATTGGAGTTTAGTTTGTGTTCAACAAGATTTTGGAAGTTGATGAAAACTCGGAATACATCAGATCATTTCTTTAACAAGTAAATCCAAGTAAATTTACTATAGTCATCAATGAAGCTTACATAATAGGAAAATCTTCCAACGGAAGTAGGGGCTGGCCCCCATACATCTGAAAATATGAGTTGCAATGGTGCAATGGACACACTGGTAGAGATAGGGTAAGGTAATTGATAACTTTTTGCTTGTTGACACGGATCACAAACTGACTCAACACTAGGCTCATAGGAGAGCTTATTCTTGCTAAGGACATGTCTAACAATTACTGAGGACGGATGACCCAAGCGACTATGCCACTTTGCTAAAGATGGCTTGGTGACGAGATACACTTGTTTATTTGATGCTGATGCTGCTGATGATATGAGTGGGTAGAGACCTCCCACACACCGTCCTCTAAGAATGATTCTCCGTGTGACCAGATCCTTAACCAAGAAAAAATAGGGATGAAACTCTATGAGAACATGATTATCATGAGTGAATCGATGAATAGAAAGAAGACTTTTTGCTGCTTCAGAAACATGTAGAATATTTTTCAGATGCAATTTTTTGATGGGGTTTTTAACAATTGAACTGCCAATATGTGTTATTGTCATACCAGAACCGCTTGTCGTGTGGATTTGATCGCCTCCGTTGTACTTCTCCCACATCGTCAGCTGATCAAGTTCTCCTGTTATGTGATTGGTGGCTCCCGTGTTGGCATACCAGTTGGTATCCACACCATAGGTGGCTGCATGTGTCGCCTTCTCTTCTGGTTCTCCATCTTCATAGCACCACCAGCAGAGCCGCGCCCCCTGGATGATATTTGAGGCATATTTGGCACTCAGGATTGCCGCGCTGCTGCTGATCATGCGCCTATTGCGGTTGATTTTGTCGCTGGCGCCCTCTGTAGTCGTTTCTGCCGCGAGCAGGAGAGGGTTGCCAATCTCCACGGCCGCGCCCCCTTGTGTCACGCCCACGGTAGGGTTTCCCGCGACCTTGGCCACGACCTCTGTAGGCTGCGTTTGCCAACGTGTGGAAGCCACCAGAAGAAGCATCGTCCAACATCTCCATTCTCTGGTCGAAAGTAGAGATTTGGGCAAAGAGATCGTCGGCGGTGATCGTGTTCTTGATGGCACTGATCGCCGCAACCACAGGATCGTAGTCACGGTCCAGCCCCGCCAAGATGTAGCCCACCATCTCCGGGTCAGAAACCGGACGGCCAGCGGCTGCTAGCTCGTCGCCGAGACTCTTCATCTTGGCCATAAAGGCAGAGCTTGACATGGTGCCCTTCTTGGTGTTGGTGATCGCAATCCTCAGATTTGTAATCCGAGACTGCGATTGGGAGGCAAAGATGGTTGTCACCGTTGTCCACAACTGGAAGGTGGAATCCTTCCCGATGACCCGCGCAACTATTTCTAGAGTCATGGAGTTCAGTAGATATTAGAGCACTTGTTGATCATTGATGATCCAGGCCGCATCCAGTGGGTTCGGCACCATGGCCGTGGTCTTGTCCGCCTGCATGGCCTCCATCGTCTTGGGCGGAGCTTCGTCGTTGTTGTCCAACAAACCAGTCACCTGCGTGCCTCGCGGGGCTGGTAGGACTTGTGCCTTCCAGAGGATGAAGTTTCCTCTTGCAAGCTTCTCAGTCGGCGGTGACCCGAGGTTGAGGGCGACGGACGACGAGGAAGACATGACGACGGCGACGGCAGTTGTGGTTTGTGGTTTTGTTGTGTCTAGATGTGTAGGGAAGAGGTGGCTCTGATACCATGTTAGATTGGGAAGGATTCCTATTCGTCGATGAGGAGCCGCATTTGGTTTATATTGATATGAGGCAAACAGCCATGCCTTGGTTTACAAGTTCGAGGAGACCGATCGCATGTGATCAGGTCGTTACAAGGAGATCTCCTGGATAGCTACAGGAAAGAGAGAAAATATGTTGGTTGAGATTACAAAGTAGAGATAAACATAAGTTCTAACAACACACATAAAAGACATGAATAAATACCCTTGTAGTAAGATCCAGTGCTTTGAGCAATTGACTAGTTACTCACAGTCGTCATGCTTCTTAGCCTTTCTTCTCTTGTATCGAATGAAAGCAGGGACTGCAAGAATCAACATCAGGACAGCGAAACAAGCTACGCCTGTAGAGATCCCTGCCACTCTCCCTTTCTTCCCTGCAATGAAATCAACATCGGATACATCAAACGGAGATCTCAAGATGACTTGAAATTTGCGCGGGATAGGGAAACCGTGAACCAGAGCCGACCTGTTGGCGTCTCTGCTGTAGCAATAGAAGGCACGGCTGCGGGTGCTGGCGCCGGCGGCGCCGAGAGCTTCACCATGGCGCCGCCCATGTAGAACGGGTTCACGCTGTACCTCAGGTTCCACCAGACCCCAAGAGCTTGGCCGCCGGACTTCCCGTTCTGGAACAAGAACCACGGCGCGGCTCCGATGAAGCCAGCGAGGCAGCCCCGGCACTGCGCGGCCGTCATCTCCGGCACGCACAGCGCCAGCCCATAAATCTTCGGGTAGTAGGTCGCGTCAAAGCTCCCCTCGCCCGTGGCGAAGTACTTCTTGGCGGGGTCGCCGCGCGCGGCCACAGCCTGGTCAACCGTCGCGTTGAGGAGCGCGAGAGCGGCGGCGTTGAACCAGGCCGCCGGGGCTGCAAGGTTCTCCATGTCCGAGGAGTAGGTACCGGCGGATGATTCCACGCCTACGAAGTCCAGGAAGCGCTGGTCGGAGAAGCAGAGGACGCAGTCGTCCTGGTAGATGGCGACGTCCTTGTTGTTGGGGCGTCCTGGTAGATGGCGACGTCCTGGTAGATGGCGACGTCCTGGAAGCTGATACGTCTCCAACGTATCTATAATTTTTGATTGCTCCATGCTATATTATCTACTATTTTGAATGTTTATGGGCTTTATTATACATTTTATATCATTTTTGGGACTAACCTATTAACCCAGAGCCCAGTGTCAGTTTCTGTTTTTACCCTGTTTTAGGGTTTCGAAGAAAAGGAAAATCAAACGGAGTCCAATTGACCTGAAACTTCACGAAACTCATTTTTGGAAGGAAAGAAGCCCAGAAGACTTGGAGTGCATGTCGGGGGATCTGTGAGGAGGCCACGAGGCAGGGGGCGCGCCCTCCACCCTCGTGGGCCCCTCGTGGCCCCCCTGACGTACTTCTTCCGCCTATATATCTCCATATACCCTAAAACATCAGGGAGCACAATAGATCGGGAGTTCCGCTGCCAGAAGCCTCCGTAGCCACCGAAAGCCAATCTAGACCCGTTCCGGTACCCTGCCGGAGGGGGAATCCTTCTCCGGTGGCCATCTTCATCATCTCGGTGCTCTCCATGACGAGGAGGGAGTAGTTCTCCCTCGGGGCAGAGGGTATGTACCAGTAGCTATGTGTTTGATCTCTCTCTCTCTCTCTCTCTCTCTCTCTCGTGTTCTTGAGGTGATACGATCTTGATGTATCGCGAGCTTTGCTATTATAGTTGGATCTTATGTTTCTCCTCCCCCTCTACTCTCTTGTAATGGATTGAGTTTTCCCTTTGAAGTTATCTTATCGGATTGAGTCTTTATAGATTTGAGAAAACTTGATGTATGTCTTGCCGTGCGTATCTGTGGTGACAATGGGATACCACGTGATTCACTTGATGTATGTTTTGGTGATCAACTTGCGGGTTCCGCCCATGAACCTATGCGTAGGGGTTGGCACACGTTTTCGTCCTGATTCTCCGGTAGAAACTTTGGGGCACTCTTTGCGGTTCTATGTGTAGGTTGAATAGATGAATCTGAGATTGTGTGATGCATATCGTATAATCATACCACGGATACTTGAGGTGACATTAGGGTTTTGGTTGATTTGTGTCTTAAGGTGTTATTCTAGTACGAACTCTAGGACTGTTTGTGACACTTATAGGAATAGCCCAACGGATTGATTGGAAAGAATAACTTTGAGGTGGTTTCGTACCCTACCATAATCTCTTCGTTCGTTCTCCGCTATTAGTGACTTTTGAGTGACTCTTTGTTGCATGTTGAGGGATAGTTATGTGATCCAATTATGTTAGTATTGTTGAGGGAACTTGCACTAGCGAAAGTATGAACCCTAGGCCTTGTTTCAACGCATTGCGATACCGTTTACGCTCACTTTTATCATTAGTTACCTTGCTGTTTTTATAATTTCAGATTACAAATACCTTTATCTACTATTCATACACCACTTGTATCACCATCTCTTCACCGAACTAGTGCACCTATACAATTTACCATTGTATTGGGTGTGTTGGGGACATAAGAGACTCTTTGTTATTTGGTTGCAGGGTTGCTTGAGAGAGACCATCTTCATCCTACGCCTCCCACAGATTGATAAACCTTAGGTCATCCACTTGAGGGAAATTTGCTACTATCCTACAAACCTCTGCACTTGGAGGCCCAACAACGTCTACAAGAAGAAGGTTGTGTAGTAGACATCAAGCTCTTTTCTGGCGCCGTTGTCGGGGAGGTTAGCGCTTGAAGGTATATATTTAGATCTTGCAATCGAGTCTTTTAGTTTCTTGTTTTATCACTAGTTTAGTTTATAAAAGAAAACTATAAAAAATAGAATTGAGTTTGTCTCATACGCTTCACCTTTTTAATATCTTTCGTAAGTATGATGGAAAGGATAATTGTGCGCAAGTGCTAGAAAAAGAAATCTATAAAATGTTTGGCACTAAATATTTGAATGATGAGCATGATTGCAATGTTGTTAGTACGAATTATTTGAATATCCATGATGCTAATGATGATTGCACTAGTTATGATGAAAATGTCTCCTATAAACATGTCAATTTTTGTGGAGTGCATTGGGTTTGTAAGTACACACCAAATAGCGAAGATAGATATTGCAAGAGGCATAAGTACTTAGAAACTAAATTGTTGCAAGAAGAGCTAGATGAATGTGCTGAAAGATTCAATATTTCTCGTGCCCCTTGTGAACTTTGCAATGAACATGGTCATTTAAATCTCCAATGCAAATTCTTTCATGACCGAATCGTATCCAAAAATTGTGATAATTTGATTACCCTTGAGCAACATAAAGAGCTTAGTCTTCTTTTGGGTTATGAAGAAATGAAATGTATAACTGAGGGTATTCCAAAGTTTAATCTTGATAGAGTTCTTGATTTTGATCTAGAAGAAATTTATATGTATTGTGCGGTGAATTGTATTGAAAATCCTTATATTGCCAATTACATAAATAAAAGAAAACAAATAGAGGATGAAGAGAATACTAACGAAAGGGAAGAGACTTCCCAATATCCTCCTATTATTTCTTATGATGAATCAGGTAACGAGGAGGAGCCTCCTATTCAACCAATCTCATTAATAAGGAGCTCCAAAAAGAGGATTGAACCCACACATGATGTGGTGAAGAAGAAGAAGAAGAAAAGAAAAAGGAAGAGAGGTAAAAAGATATCTCTCCCAAATAATGCTGCTCCTATTACTATTGTGCCTCATGAAAATATAATTGTGGAAGATAATGATACTTCTTATGATCTTGAAAATCTTTTTGGCACTTACTTGGAAGAATATGATCATTGCTATACTATTGGTGTTATCTATACTATTAATGATGAGAGTGATTATGATTATGATATGAAAAGGCCCAAGCTTGGGGATGCTATGTTTGATGAAGATGATGTTTTTGAGAATATATTTGCTGCAATTAATGTTTGTACCAAGCTTGGGGAAGCTATGATTAATGAAGATGATATTTTTAGTCTCCCAAGTTTTGATATGCAAGTTTATAGTTATGATAGCATGCCTCCTACTTATGATGATTATTGTGATGATACTTATGCTATAAAAAGTAGTGATTATATTTATAAAACTTGTCATGATTATGATTACCCCTTCTCTGAACATTACTCTTTTAATGTGGAAACAATTTATAGTATTCGAGTCTCTTATGATACTCCCACTATTATTCATGAGAAGAGTTTTGCTTGTGTGGAGAGTAGTAAATTTTCTATGCTTGTAAATCATGAAAAGAATGCTTTAGGTGCTGGTTATATTGTTGAATTCATTCATGATGCTACTGAAAATTATTATGAGGGAGGAACATATGCTTGTAGGAATTGCAATATTATCAAGTTTCCTCTCTATGTGCTTAAAATTTTAAAGTTATGTTTGTTTTGCCTTCCTATGCAAGTTGATTATTGTTCCCGCAAGTTGTTTGCTCATAAAATCCTTATGCATAGGAAGAGGGTTAGACTTAAATGTGCTAGTCATATTCTTCATTATGCTCTCTTTATGTTACAATTCTTATCTTTTATGTGAGCATCATTGAAATCATCATGCCTAGCTAGGGGCGTTAAACGATATCGCTTGTTGGGAGGCAACCCAACTTTATTTTTATTCCTTGTTTTTGTTCCTGTTTATTAATAAATAATTCATCTAGCCTCTGTCTAGATGTGGTTTTAGTTGTTTAATTAGTGTTTGTGCCAAGTAGAATCTTTGGGAAGACTTGGGTGAAGTCTTTATGATCATGCTGTAAAAAACAGAAACTTTAGTGCTCACGAGAATTGCTGCCATTTTTATTTGGAGAGTGATATTTAGTTAATTATTTTTTCAGATGATTAATAGATAAATTACTCAGGTCCAGCAATTTATTTGAGAATTTTATGAGTTCCATAAGTATACGTTTGATCCATATTACTACAGACTGTTCTGTTTTTGACAGATTCTGTTTTTCATGTGTTGTTTACTTATTTTTGATGAATCTATGGCTAGTAAAATAGTTTATAAACCATAGAGAAGTTGAAATACAGTAGGTTTAAAACCAATATAAATAAATAATGAGTTCATTACAGTACCTTGAAGTGGTGATTTATTTTCTTATACTAATGGAGCTTACGAGTTTTCTGTTAAGTTTTGTGTTGTGAAGTTTTCAAGTTTTGGGTAAGGATTCGATGGAATATGGAATAAGGAGTGGCAAGAGCCTAAGATTGGGGATGACCAAGGAACCACAAGGTAATATTCAAGGATAGCCAAGAGCCTAAGCTTGGGGATGCCCCGGAAGGCATCCCCTCTTTCGTCTTCGTCCATCGGTAACTTTACTTGGAGCTATATTTTTATTTACCACATGATATGTGTTTTGCTTGGAGCGTCAATTTATTTTGTTAGTATTTTCTTGCTGTTATTTAGAACAATGTTTTGCATCTTTTATTTCAATAAAAGTGGCATTGATAGCCTTTACTATGCCTATGTTACAAGTATACATGTTGCTGTTTGAAAACAGAAAGTTTACCGCTGTTGCAATAATTCCCTATAAAAGTCAGAATGTGATAAAATGTTGAAACCTTTTGCACATTAAGATCTGATAAATTTACTACAGTGGGAATTTTATTTCATAATTTTTTTAGCTAGGTAAGTATGGATGTTGCAGCATTCTTTACAGACTATCCTGTTTAGGCAGATTGCTGTTATGTTTGCATTGTTTCCATATGTTTGCTTCTTTAATGATTCTATTTGAGGATAGGACTATTAAATATGCAGAGGCATTTAGTATGCAATGTTTAATAATAATTTTGGTGATTTTCTACAGTAGAGTATGATAAGGTTTTGCAATGGTTTATACTAACTTATCTCACGAGTCCTTGTTGAGTTTTGTGTGGATGAAGCTTTTGAGATTTAAGGAGACCGTGATATGAGAGGAATTAAGGAGACACAAAATCTCAAGCTTGGGGATGCCCAAGGAATCTCGAGATAATATTTCAAGAAGTCTCAAGCATCTAAGCTTGGGGATGCCCCGGTTGGCATCCCATCTTTCTTCTTCAACAACTATCGGTTAGTTTCGGTTGATCCTAAGTTTTTTCTTCTTCACATGATGTTTGCTATTCTTAGATATCATTTTATTTTGTTTTGCTTGCTGTTTGAATAAAGTATCAAGATCTTAAATTGTTAAATGTTAGAGAGTCTTCACATAGTTGCATAATTATTCGACTACTCATTGATCTTCACTTATATCCTTCGGAGTAGTTTGTTGTTGCTCTGGTGCTTCACTTATATCTTTTAGAGCACGGTGGTGGTTTTATTTTGAAGAAATAGATGAACTCTCATGCTTCACTTATATTATTTTGAGAGTATTTAAATAGCATGGTAATTTCCTTAAATAATCCTAATATGCTAGGCATCCAAGAATAGTAAAAACTTTCATATAAAGTATTGAATACTAAGAGAAGTTTGATGCTTGATGATTGTTTTGAGATATGGAGATGGTGATATTAGAGTCATGCTAGTTGAGTAGTTGTGAATTTAAGAAATACTAGTGTTGAAGTTTGTGATTCCCGTAGCATGCACGTATGGTGAACCGTTATGTGATGAAGTCGGAGCATGATTTATTTATTGATTGTCCTCCTTATGAGTGGCGGTCGGGGACGAGCGATGGTCTTTTCCTACCAATCTATCCCCCCTAGGAGCATGTGGGTAGTACTTTGTTTCGATAACTAATAGATTTTTGCAATAAGTATGTGAGTTCTTTATGACTAATGTTGAGTCCATGGATTATACGCACTCTCACCCTTCCACCATTGCTAGCCTCTCTAGTACCGCGCAACTTTCGCCGGTACCATAAACCCACCATATACCTTCCTCAAAACAGCCACCATACCTACCTATTATGGCATTTCTATAGCCATTTCGAGATATATTGCCATGCAACTTTCCACCGTTCCGTTTATTATAACACAGTCCATCATTGTCATATTGCTTAGCATGATCATGTAGTTGACATTGTATTCGTGGCAAAGCCACCATTCATAATTCTTTCATACATGTCACTCATGAGTAATTGCACATCCTGGTACACCGCCGGAGGCATTCATATAGAGTCATATCTTGTTCTAAGTATCGAGTTGTAATTCTTGAGTTGTAAGTAAATAAAAATGTGATGATCATCATTATTAGAGCATTGTCCCAGTGAGGAAAGGATGATGGAGACTATGATTCTCCCACAAGTCGGGATGAGACTCCGGATGAAAATAAAAAAATAAAAGAAGCCAAAGAAGCCCAAATAAAAAAAAAGAGAAAAGAGGTCATAAAAAAGAGAAGGCCCAAATAAAAAAATAAAAAATGAGAGAAAAAGAGAGAAGGGGCAATGCTACTATCCTTTTTACCACACTTGTGCTTCAAAGTAGCACCATGATCTTCATGATAGAGAGTCTCCTATGTTGTCACTTTCATATACTAGTGGAAATATTTCATTATAGAACTTGGCTTGTATATTCCAATGATGGGCTTCCTCAAAATGCCCTAGGTCTTCATGAGCAAGCAAGTTGGATGCACACCCACTAGTTTCTTTTGTTGAGCTTTCATACATTTATAGCTCTAGTGCATCCGTTGCATGGCAATCCCTACTAACTCACATTGATATCCGTTGATGGGCATCTCCATAGCCCGTTGATACGCCTAGTTGATGTGAGACTATCTTCTCCTTTTTGTCTTCTCCACAACCACCACTCTATTCCACCTATAGTGCTATATCCATGGCTCATGCTCATGTATTGCGTGAAGATTGAAAAAGTTTGAGAACATCAAAAGTATGAAACAATTGCTTGGCTTGTCATCGGGGTTGTGCATGATTTAAATATTTTGTATGGTGAAGATGGAGCATAGCCAGACTATATGATTTTGTAGGGATAGCTTTCTTTGGCCATGTTATTTTGAGAAGACATGATTTCTTTGTTAGTATGCTTGAAGTATTATTATTTCTATTTCAATATGAACTTTTGTCTTGAATCTTATGGATCTGAATATTCATGCCACAATTAAGAAGAATTACATTGAAATTATACCAAGTAGCACTCTGCATCAAAAATTCTGTTTTTATCATTTACCTACTCGAGGACGAGCAGGAATTAAGCTTGGGGATGCTGATACGTCTCCAACGTATCTATAATTTTTGATTGCTCCATGCTATATTATCTACTGTTTTGAATGTTTATGGGCTTTATTATACATTTTATATCAATTTTGGGACTAATCTATTAACCCAGAGCCCAGTGCCAGTTTCTATTTTTACCCTGTTTTAGGGTTTCGAAGAAAAGGAAAATCAAACGGAGTCCAATTGACCTAAAACTTCACGGAACTCATTTTTGGAAGGAAAGAAGCCCAGAAGACTTGGAGTGCACGTCGAGGGATCTGCGAGGAGGCCACGAGGCAGGGGGCGCGCCCTCCACCCTCGTGGGCCCCTCATGGCCCCCCTGACGTACTTCTTCCGCCTATATATCTCCATATACCCTAAAAACACCAGGGAGCACAATAGATCGGGAGTTCCGCTGCCAGAAGCCTCCGTAGCCACCGAAAGCCAATCTAGACCCGTTCCGGCACCCTGCCGGAGGGGGAATCCTTATCCGGTGGCCATCTTCATCATCCCGATGCTCTCCATGATGAGGAGGGAGTAGTTCTCCCTCGGGGCAGAGGGTATGTACCAGTAGCTATGTGTTTGATCTCTCTCTCTCTCTCTCTCTCTCTCGTGTTCTTGAGGTGATACGATCTTGATGTATCGCGAGCTTTGCTATTATAGTTGGATCTTATGTTTCTCCTCCCCCTCTACTCTCTTGTAATGGATTGAGTTTTCCCTTTGAAGTTATCTTATCGGATTGAGTCTTTATAGATTTGAGAACACTTGATGTATGTCTTGCCGTGCGTATCTGTGGTGATAATGGGATACCACGTGATTCACTTGATGTATGTTTTGGTGATCAACTTGCGGGTTCCGTCCATGAACCTATGCGTAGGGGTTGGCACACATTTTCGTCGTGATTCTCCGGTAGAAACTTTGGGGCACTCTTTGAGGTTCTATGTGTAGGTTGAATAGATGAATCTGAGATTGTGTGATGCATATCGTATAATCATACCCACGGATACTTGAGGTGACATTAGGGTTTTGGTTGATTTGTGTCTTAAGGTGTTATTCTAGTACGAACTCTAGGGCTGTTTGTGACACTTATAGGAATAGCCCAACGGATTGATTGGAAAGAATAACTTTAAGGTGGTTTAGCACCCTACCATAATCTCTTCGTCCGTTCTCCGCTATTAGTGACTTTGGAGTTACTCTTTGTTGCATGTTGAGGGATAGTTATGTGATCCAATTATGTTAGTATTGTTGAGGGAACTTGCACTAGCGAAAGTATGAACCCTAGGCCCTGTTTCAACGCATTGCAATACCGTTTACGCTCACTTTTATCATTAGTTACCTTGCTGTTTTTATAATTTCAGATTACAAATACCTTTATCTACTATCCATACACCACTTGTATCACCATCTCTTCGCCAAACTAGTGCACCTATACAATTTACCATTGTATTGGGTGTGTTGGGGACACAAGAGACTCTTTCTTATTTGGTTACAGGGTTGCTTGAGAGAGACCATCTTCATCCTACGCCTTCCACAGATTGATAAACTTTAGGTCATCCACTTGAGGGAAATTTGCTACTGTCCTATAAACCTCTGCACTTGGAGGCCCAACAATGTCTACAAGAAGAAGGTTGTGTAGTAGACATCAGAAGCCCGCCGCGACGAGTTGGTGTCGCCACGGCAGAGCGTTAGCGCGGAGATGAGGTCCAGCACCACGCCCACGGTGGCCGTGGCGAAGCCGGCCGGCGAGGCCGAGACGTTGGCCGGTAGCACCGCGGCGAGCAGGTCCAGGTTGGTCTGGTAGGTGATGTTGGCCGCGTAGGCACCGCTGGCGCATGTCGTGGACTGCCATTGCATCGCCTGGGGCGCGGCCTGCGGCAGTAGCACGGCCACGAGAAGGAGGTAGCCGCCGAGCATGGTTGTCTCTGGAAGTGGCAGAAAGCACGAGTTGGCTGCACAGTCAACAACAGCTCCGGCCTCCGAGATTGCCAATGCCATACACACAGACACGGAACACAATGAGCCACCTCGCCGTGGCATCCCTCACCGTCGTGCTGCTGGCGCGGTGCGCAGCGGCGTATCCGTGGCAAGTGTGCGGCACGGCGGCCAACTTCACAGCCAACAGCACGTACCAGGCCAACCTGGGCCTCCTTGCCACGGCACTGCCCAAGAACATCTCCTCATCCCCGGACCTCTTCGCCACCACCATGGTCGGCGCCGCCCCAGACCAGGTCTGGGCGCTCGTGCTCTGCCGGGGCGACGCCAACGCCACGGCCTGCTCCGGCTGCGTCTCCATGGCCTTCCAGGACGTGTAGAACCAGTGCGCCTATGACAAGGACGCCGCCATCTACTATGACCCCTGCGCGCTCTACTACTCCACCAACGCCAGCTCCCTCTCCTCCATGGACAACGTCGGGAGGACGAACCGCATCAACAACCAGAACGTCACGTCCGACCCCGGCCGGTTCAACCGCCAGGTGGTCGCGCTCGTGAGCGCCACCGCCGACTATGCGGCGTACAACTCCACGCGGCGGTACGCGTCCAGGGAGGCCAACCTCGGCGGCCAGTTCCCCAGGGTGTACGGCTGGGCGTAGTGCACGCCGGAACCTGACGCCGGCACGGTGCCGTGCCTGCCTCGCCGGACTCATTGCCGGAATGCCGAGGTGGTTCACCGACCACGTCGGAGGGAGGTCTCTTGGGGTCAGGTGCAGCTACCGATACGAGACGTACTCCTTCCTCGACGGCCCGGTGATGGTCAGGCTGGCTGCGCCGCCGAACTCGGCCGCGCCTGCGCCTGCAGATGGGCCCGCAATTCTGACTCCACGGGCGGTCGCCGGAGGTGAGTTTCCGTACTACCGTACATTTCAAAGTTCAAACTAATGCTAAACCTACGAAAGAGTATACGTAAGGTTACGAAACATTCCAAACTAATCTAAACATCGCCTGATTTTCAGAGGGTGGACCCCTCACTCCCCTAAATACTAATCCTATTCTTCTATGTTGGCTCATACGTAAGCTTAAGTAGTTTATTTATGTAAGTGTAGCATTGTTCATCTGGTCTCGTCGTGGCATCCTTGGATACGTGGTTTTATCAAGGGTCTATTTAAAACACATCTAGATGTGACATAGTTGCATCACATCTAAGTTGATGTACACTTTATTCGTGGTATTTTTTTTTGTCTAGCTTTTTAAATTCTTGTTGTTGTATTATATATTTGTGGGAATTTAGATGTGACATCTTTAAAAAAACATTTAAATATAAATTAGACAAACTATTCTACCAAGCCCATTTTTCTAATGCGTGTTTTGAGGAATAACCACCCAAAACTACGTTTGGTTAGCGTAACAAATTCCCGGATAAGTAAAACTCGTTTCCCGTAAAACCAGAAAAACGAGCTTTTGGAAAAATGACTATTAGTCATTTTTGTATAAACGAGTTTAGCTTATAAGCCGGCCGAACTCATCATCACATGTCCGCTGAAAGACACTACCGTCGTTTCCTGTGAACCCACGCTCATCGCTCAACGAACGCAGAGTTATTTACCCAAAATCACCACACTTGAGACTAGGGTAACCGGTCAGTACCACATTTAAGCCATGTCACAAAAAACCACCAACTCTGGGACTAATCGGTACCGCGGAGCACTGACTGGCCGTTTTAGCCGCGGAAACAGCGAAACCGACAGGTCAGGCCCACCTGTCGGGTCGACGTGGCGCGGGCTGACGGACGCCGTTAGACGGAGGGGGACGGCCGTTTCCGCGCCCATGTATTAGTGGGTCGTGCGGGTCGCTGGTCGGACCAGACCGCACCAGAGCACATCCGACCCCTCTGTCTCGACCTCGACGACCGCCGCCGCCGCCACCGTCGTCTCGCCGTCGTCCGCCGGTCCGCCATGGTTTCCTGGAGCGAGGGGTCAAGCTCTTCTTCTTCGGACGACGAGTCAGTGACTAGCTAGGTATGTTCATTTGGGGATTCCAACATTTAGGGTTAGGGTTAGGGTTCTTGAGTTGGGGATTTCTTACCAACTCACTGATTTCTTCAATCTCTTTGGTTTTAAGCTTCCTAGGATTATCCCATGCTATGAATGGAGTGGCATTGCTCATGAGCTCTCCTCTCGATGTCTGCATCGCGAGCCTTGCCTCAGGCTAGTAGCATTTGAATCTACGGACACGGGCCGCCATTTTCTTGCTTGCGCTGAGGAGAAGGTATGTTGGTTAGTACTGTATTTAGTTAACCTTAGTTAGTTTTTGCTCCATTCAAATGCCAGAAGGAAATTTTGCTCTGCTTATTAGTGTGAACAATTGTCACTGCCCACAGTTGCATTTAATTATGCTCTGACAATAGTAAATTATGCTATGCCAGTGTAATTTGCTCCAAATAATTAAGTAGTGTACAACATTGTTAGTGCCAGTAGGAATTATGCTATGGCAGTGTAATTTGCTTAAATAATTAAGTAGTGTACAACTAGTGTACAACATTGTTAGTGCCAGCACTAAATTTTGTTGTTATAATGACAACATATATTTAGTTTATATGCTGTTAAAAGTGACAAAAATTTCTTATTGAAAACACCTATTAATTTGATAGGCTTTCTTAATTGTTTGTGCATTTAAATGAACACAATTTCTTACTGAGAACATCTCTTGTGTAGTATGATTGACAATATTTTTTCTGAATTATAGGCTGAACTAAGGTGCAACTATCTGGAGTGGATAGACCGTGAGTGGTCAGTGGCTTTGCAGTTCTGCCTAACTGAATTGTGGAGCATGTATGACAAAGAAATCAATGACAGGCTGAGAGACAATGTTCAGCTTGGTGAACATAATTACAAAGTAGTTGGAAAAAAAAGAGGAAGATGGAAAAAGAGCTGAGATTTTTCAAACTTGATTTTGCAAAAATGGTGGCTGACAAGGAGGATGCTATTACTGAGCTGGGCAATACTAGGTTGGCTCTCAATGATCTGAAAGAGGAGATGGAGAAGAAGAAGTTGGCAGACCATGGTTGCACAAACCTACATCAGTTACTCAGGGCAAAGGCAGAGAAAGAGAGGGACAAAATTGTGGTGGAGAGAGACCAAGGTGCTCACAGAGAGAGACCAACTAAAGGAAGAGAAGAAAAAGCTAGAGTACATCATCTCTGATTTGCTGAAACAGAAGCATGGCTACAAGGACAAGATCAAGAAGTTGAAGGAGATCTGTGATGAATTTTAATTATGTAATGTGGCATTGTACTGGTGCAGTTGTGCTCTGTTGCACTGAATAATCAGCCCTACTAGAAGTGCACTATACTGTTGTAATGGTTAAATTTGTACTGAATTATGCAGTTTATCTGCAAGTCTAGAATTTGAACTTATGGCATGAATTTGAACTTAATTTGTAGTGCTATCTCTTGTATCATATTGAGTACTCTATTATATTTACTTCACTCCAGGTGAAACTGGTGTGATAGTCAAATTATTGTGCACAGAAAAATTTGAAATACTAGTAACTTATGGCATGAGTATACCAGGAACTTTCTGGCATTATTATTATGCACATAATGTGATGATCAGGGAGTGCAAACAACATAGCAGTACAGAGTAAATGTAGCAGTGCGAACACATAATTATAGATAGGTACATGATGATTGAAGCAAGCCAACATAGCAGTACACAAGAATAATAGATAGCAGTTCCTCATAGCATAAAACAAAGATCCATACATAGGTTTAGCATAGAATTACACAACAGTAGTTCATAGTGGCACACATAGGTTCAACACAGCATTACATAAGTTCAAATTTAGTCTTGGCATAGATAAAGTGCTCTAGTGCCTGATGGAGCACACATGCACTTGGATACATAGTCAAACAAGAACTCTTAGTAGTTCCCACTGGCATAGAAGTACCCCTCCATCCTTTTGCTCATGTATCTTGCCCTTTTCGGCCTATTTCCTGTTGGCTGGCTGGTTGAAGCTTCTGCAGTAGTTCTTGGAGGATTGAAGCTTCTTGCACCTGTTTTTGCACCTCTCCTTGCAACAGCAGTACTAGCACCAGAAGGAGAAGAATTTGCAGCTCTAGCAGATAAACCAGCAGCTCTAGCAGATGTAGCAGCAGCTCTAGCAGATTTGCCCCTTGAAGCAGCAGCATCAGATCCCCTTGAAGCAGCAGCATCAGATCCCCTTGAAGCAGATGTAGAGCTTGCACCCCTAGGAGTTGTTGTACCAGATGTTGAGCTTCCACCTTGCTGCCATGCAGGGGCTGTCCTGTTTTCCTGCAATTATTTTTGTTGGATAAATTTCAGTGATACTTAATGAGTGATGAGATAGAGAAGGAAGTCAAAAATAACATACCATGTGTTTGTTCTTCCTGATTTGCAGATCTGGCCTCAATGGCTTTGCACAACTTGTGTATTTGTGGCCCTGCAACTTGCAGTTACTACAAGTTATTGTAGCCATCCTTGATGTCTGCTTTGCTTGAGGAGGCTCAAACCTTCCTTTCTTCCTTTTCTCTTCTGCTGGTCCCTTCTTGTCTTCTTTGAACTGAGGTGGGTCAATGTCAGGAGTTGCAGTTTTCACCCAACAATCAGGACCAGGAACTGGGTAAATGATAGGCTTGTATGACTCCAAGTACATAGCTTTTTTGAAGAAAACATTTACATGGTCCTCTGGTAGTTGTTTGGACCTGTAGATGGCAGAACAACCATGGTTGCAAGGAATTCCGGAGATGTCCCGCTTCTTACAACCACATGTTTTAAGATTAGTGTCAACAGAGTAGGTCTTATCCCCACTACTCACTTGGAAAAGACCTGGTCCAGCTATCAATGATTTGTAGCCCCTTGCATATCTCTTGTTCATCTCTAACCTCTCAACATAAGTTGGTGCAATTTCCCATCTTGAAACTAGTCCACCCTCTCTCTTTTGCTGATACCTTACCAGAA